GAAATGTATCAATAAAATATACTGATTCCTGTTGTTCCTGACTGACTTGGTTTTTGACTCCTGTTTCTGTATATTCGCTATTGCCTGTTCGCTGCCTGACTACTCTCCTGGATTTTCCCTTGTTTGTTTCCTCATACCTGGTTATTGTTCCTGCAAAGCCCCCGTGCACAGACTCACAGACCAGGTGAATTCTTACCTGACCACCTCAGTCTGTGTCTATTTGCAAGGGTGAGCATACATCTCTGCACTTCAGACTCCAACCAAGGTAAGACCATTACATTACTTTACTGAGAGAGTAGTGGATGCATGGAATAGCCTTCCAGCTGAAGTGGTAGAGGTTAACACAGTAAAGGAGTTTAAGCATACGTGGGATAGGCATAAGGCTATCCTAGATATAAGATAAGGCCGGGGACTAATGAAAGTATTTAGAAAATTGGGCAGAATAGATGGGCCGAATGGTTCTTATCTGCCGTCACATTCTATGTTTCTATGTCTATTGGCAGTTTCATGAAGAGATTGAACATAGCAATATATATTCATCCCAGTGTTTTGTTTGCCAACAATTGTATAGATCTGGAGCAAATGCATCTTTGCTCTCTAGCTGATTATTAGCTTTACACAGTCTTTTGCCAATACCAGACATTTTTTTTAATTGTTGGGAGGTATGGTATGCAGTAATCTCCTGAACCACTCACCTCGCATGTGTGCTCCTATTGTTAAGGCTCCAGAACCAGGGACGGATTAGCATAGGGGCTGATGGAGCTGCAGCTCCAGGCCCATGCCCATGGAATAGGCCCATTGATTTAATAAAAATTTTTTTCCCTACTCTTCACATGCTCTTGCTTAAGTCTGGAAACTTAAGAGGGATGTAAGGGAACAACACTTGTGTGGACTGGCTGACAATGAAATTAGTTAAGGTTAAGCTGACTTTGCACACTATGCAAATACTCTTTTCTCTGTCTCAGACTGTATAACAGGAGCTTCTGCCTGCTAGTAAGAAGGTTAGGAAAGTAGTGGACCAGTGAGTGCTAGGGGAAAGTCCTTAGAAAGTGTGCAGCGAGCACATCATTAAACGCATTTACGCCAAGCTCAGAGTGCTGTCTGTATAGTTTGCCCTTGGTTGGCCATCCTGCATGATTAGCAGGCAGCCTGACATTCCTTCACACCAGGCTGGCCTTCTAATTCTTTGGGCAGACACGCCACCATTTTGGGGCATGTTTGCCCCTCTGGCCGGTTTTGGTTACATGTTTCACATCAGTGGCCCACCCTTTTACCCACCCACCGACAACCTGCTTCACCAGATGCTGCTGTTAGGCAGTATGGATTTACTTGGAAGATGAAAGCGAGAAATTAGCATAGGGTATGTGTTTTCTTATAGATATATCCCGTGAGTTTCTCTCCAGCACCACCTCCACCAGATACATGACACATTGGGAGGTATGACTGTTTTAGTGTTTTCTGTCGATAAAATTATGTAATTAGGCCCATCATAATTGTCAGCACCATTCCCAATGGGCTCCTAATCTGACCCTGTTCAGACGTAGAGAGAGGAGAGAGATGCCTGTCCTAGTTGTGCATGTATGCAGATTGCAGGCACAAAATGGACATTAAAGGGTGATGGAAAATTCCTTCTGTGATGATTCAGAGCCAGGCACAATGCTTTATATGCAGCTATACAATTTTATCAATATGTCACAAAAAGTACCCTTTCCATTGTTACTTTTACCATTAATTCACACCATGAGCAAAAGGACAACATTGTACAGTCTCTGATTGGCATTGGTTTAATCAGACTATAACCCAGGTGTTGTCATAAAAAGGTATATTATGAACAGTAGGTCATTTCACGAGGCACCTGTACACATGGGGGTTTGAATTCTAAAGAAAATGTATTTATGATATTTTGCATATCATTCTGAGTTTTGTAAACCCATCTGTAAGGCTGTTGTATCTAGGGTATATATTTTCTGTGAAGATGGAATGCAGTCATAAAAAAATATGACCTACAAATTTAAGTTTAATGTAACCATTCCTTATTTTTTTCCAGCCTCAGCACTAACGTATACTAAACTTCCCAATTCTGAAATAATACTCTTTTTATACTGTATTAATACTCTGCCTTGGAATCTTGTTTTGAGATTTTGGGGAAAAAATAATTTAAAACACCTTTCTTCCTGTTTAGCATACATTGGAAGAGGTCAGCAATCTACAATCTTTTAATAGTCAATATGTTGCAAAAAGACCCAAAAAACTTCCTTAGGTGTAATATGGAAGCCGGAAGAGGCCATGTATTCTAAATATTTTTCTGACTTGAGAAAACAACTAGTTATCTCGACAAAACAAGTAAAAATAAAAAGTATTGAAAATAGATGGCCTCTTTGGGAATCCATAGTTTAATGCAGGCTTCCCCAAACTCCAGCCCTCCAGATGTTGCTGAACTACAACTCCCATGATTCTCAGCCTATTTCATTCATAGAATCATGGGAGTTGTAGTTCAGCAACATCTGGAGGGCCGGAGTTTGGGGAAGCCTGGTTTAATGCATACCTCTGAACACTTCAAATTGACAAAGAGTAACACTTTAATTTTAGGGTAGTGCGGCCAGGGGAATGTCTCGAATGAGGAATTTTAGGTGACTTACTAATAACAATTTATGCAACTAAAATGTGACTCAGAACAAAATGTACACAGTCTGATTTCTAAAAACATTTAGTGTACTGGTATAAGACGCATTACTGTGAGTATTATCGCTGTGGAGCGCTGTTATACACTCAGACACACCAACAATATGGAGCGCCTAGATAAAAGGACAATAGGATAGAAAAGAGGGACAGAGGGATTTGGGCCCAAAGTATGGACTATCCCTGATGAAAAGGGACACTGGGAGCTATGGTAATGTAGGTTAAAAACTCATAATACCTGTTTTCTCACTGTTTGCTTTTTTATTCTTTATCACTTGAAGGAACACTGTAAGAGCCAAAGCATCTTTAGCTTAAAGGACCACTATAGTGCCAGGAAAACATACTCGTTTTCCTGGCACTATAGTGCCCTGAGGGTGCCTCCACCCTCAGGGTCCCCCTCCCGCTCGGCTCTGGAAAGGGGTTAAAACTTACCTTTTTCCAGTGCTGGGCGGAGAGCTCTCCTCCTCCGATCCTCCTCTTCTCCTCCCCGTTGGCTGAATGCGCACGCGCGGCAAGAGCTGCGCGCGCATTCAGCCGGTCACATAGGAAAGCATTCATAATGCTTTCCTATGGACGCTAGCGTGCTCTCACTGTGAAAATCACAGTGAGAAGCACGCAAGCGCCTCTAGCGGCTGTCAATGAGACAGCCGCTAGAGGAAATAGGGGAAGGCTTAACCCATTCATAAACATAGCAGTTTCTCTGAAACTGCTATGTTTATGAAAAAATGGGTTAACCCTAGCTGGACCTGGCACCCAGACCACTTCATTAAGGTGAAGTGGTCTGGGTGCCTAGAGTGGTCCTTTAATGATTAAGGCTCAATTGTGAGCTAAAACATTGCGATTCCTTTTCTTTCGACTTCTCATCTAATCACCATACCCTAGCCTAGAATATACTCTCAATTAATACTTGGTGATTATTATTATTTAGAATTATAAATGAGATGACTAGCCTCTATATTTAGCGTATCAACCATACACCTAGTTAAGGGATAGCATTACCTATTAGCTCACTATATGGGGCTCAGTATTTTTATAACCCGATTCTAGTGTGCCTATCCTTCACTTTATTTCCCCACATTCTTTATTCACACGTTCTATCATTTTTAATATATACTTTTTGCTAGCCATTACCTTGAATGATTTCTAATTGAGATAATCTTAGTGGGGTTGTATCCTACCTATTCTAGTTAGGTTACTTCCCCTTCCAGTCTATTTATTTATTTATTATTATTTTATTATTTATATAGCGCCAGCAAATTCCGTAGCACTGTACAATGGGGTTGATCCAAATAATAATTCTGGTAATGTCCCCCTCAGTTTACCTGACAAATCAATATATTTTTTTTAATGTGTTACTGGAGGAGGCAATGCAATCCCTTAGAAATCTGATTGATATAAACTCTGAAGAATAAGGAATTTCCTAGCAAGTAAAAATATATATTTAATGTTTTGCCTGCTCTATGTGTGTTGCCTAAATTTTAGATACATATATGCCAACTACTATTTTTAACATTTATAAAAGTAATTATTTTTTAAAAAACTGTGAATTCTTTAAACAGAAATGATGGGGGAATAAATCCGCTATGGTGCTTTTTCTAAACAGTGAGCAATGGTAAATTAGAATACAGTATAAAATAGTCACTCTGTGACTATAATTGATTAATTTGCACAATTTTTGCCTTCATTTTTCAATTTGTTTTTTAATTCACTACAATTCACAGTTTAGTGAATTAACTCTCCTGTTCGTTGTTTTTTTTGTTTGTTTGTTTTTTTGTTTTGTTTTTGTTTTTTTGCTAGAGCATGATTATTCAGTACTTTCTACTATCAGCGAAAAAACTTTGCAGGTGTTTGTAAGAATCCATCAGGGTTATTTACCAAAGTGAGAATGCAAAGAGAATTTAAAGTACATTTAAAATTTAAGGACAGAGTAGGCGATATGAAAACATAGCTGACTTGGAGAATTTTGCCAGTTTGATTATTTTTACCTTGCCTTACCCTTAGAATCTCACTTATGTGAATAACCCTAGCAATATCACAATAAAAACTGATACTTCTGGTTCTCTGATTATATTTTAACCTTACATAAAATCCTGCATGACGAGGAAAACTATGTAACCTAACTTTTGCTGTACCCAATGTAATAGGATGAATGAAACAAATGAAAAATTCAATCCTGTACTATATATAATTCTAATTTTAACTGTTTCACATAGAAACAGGAGAAGGGATAAAGGACAACCCTGATGTGTTCTGTTACATATTTGAAAGGGGTCAGTGAGTTGAATACAACCCTGATGTGTTCTGTTACATATATGAAAGGGGTCAGTGAGTTGACTGTAATTCTGGCCATGGGGGGACGTGTATAGGGCTGAGATCCAAGAAAGCATATTCTTGTCTAGTCCAATCACTCACAGTACTGCACCAAGGTATGACCAATACAACCGGATGAACACTCTCTGTACATCTGTGGAAAGTAGCAGTGCTGGCGGTTTCTTTGTTTTTCGGGAAATTAGTCAAATTAATTACGCACACCATATTACACTTGGCTCCCTCCCGGATACGAAACCAACCTGATCCGGATGGATCAATGTCAGTATATGGGACTGTAGACGCAGAGCAGGGAGTTTGGCAACAAGTTTCAGGTCTGTGTTCAACAAGGAGATCGGCCGATGCGGGGTCAGAGGGACGTATTCTTATCCTCCTTTGCAATCACCGTTATGTGAGCTGAAAAGGTTTGCGTATCTAAATGATTGCCTTCAGTCAGGAAGTTCAGAAGTCACAAGAATCGAGGGTCCAGAATGCAGAAGTATTAACTAAAATATTTAATTTTGAACCCGCCTTGGACTGGACCTTTGCTGTCATTTTTAGCTGTTTTAATTGCTAAGGGAAGTTCCTCCATCGTAATGGTGAATTCCAGAAAAGCAATGGTTTCTGGTGTCAAGACAATTATCACGTGTTGGTGTAGGTAAGTGCTCCATTGGGCACGATGTCTGGCCTATCTAAAGGTGAGGGGTTGTCACGCATAATGTACAGTGTTTCAGGTATTGACAGAATGCTTCTGCTTTTTCATTAGAGTGTTGTGGGTGCGAACATTGTTTTGGATTTTAGGGACATACATTTTCATCCATCTAATTTTAATGTCTCTAGCTAGCAATCTACCACTTTTAAAAACCCGGGTTCCAAAAAGACACAAGTTGTTCTTGCAAATATTGGTTAACTTAAAAGGTTGATTTTTAGCTAAGAAAAGTTGAGAATATGCCACACTTGTGGCATTAAATTCTGTCATTCATCCTGTTATTGAACTACATGATGTGATAGGGTGTTGCACTATTTGAATCATTTTCCTGGTTAGTCATCAGCTTCTAAATTCTAAGGACCAAACGGAAATAGATGAGAGGAGAGGAGATGGTCTGCATAGGAAAAAAAACTAACCGCAAATGTGTAGGAAGAAATAAAACTAAAAACTTTAAGGGAACACTTCACTGATTTTTTTTTTAGATTTTTTTTTTTACTAAAACAATTAATAACAAATAAATGAAAGCCTATGGGGTCATAGATATGAAATACTCTGGATGCATGCAGTGGTTCTTTATTGAATTACATCAGTGGAAGAACTAATGTAGAGAGGGCCCTGGTGCAAGACATTGTTTGAGCACTTCTCTACCACAAGGGTGGCCAAAGGGTAAATCCGCATCTGTTACAACTCCCACAATGCTTTGCCAACTGTCGATCTATCACTTGTCTATCATTGCAGGGTTGTATTTGTGAGCAGTGCATTTGAATGTAACTAGTTTTATTGTATGGAGCATGTGTGTGTTTGTCATTGGAATGCAGTGGTTTACTTCTATGCAATGTTTGCGTTTGAATGCAGTTCAATTTGTTTTAATGTGTTTGTATGTAGTGTTGGCTTTTAAATGCAAGTGTACTTTTGTATCATGTTGATGTTTGATTAAGGGATGTTTGCATATAATTTTAGCATTTTAATACATGGTTGGGTTTGTTTGTAATGTTTGCATTTGACTGCAGCGGTGTGTTTGTATGTAGTGTTGGCTTTTAAATGTGGGTGTACATATATGTGTATTATTGGTGTTTGTTTGATTGATGTGATGTATGCACATATACATGTACACTGTAAAATACATACACAGATATGCATACACATTGACACACATACATAGGTACACACTGACACACATACACTTGCAAACGCAGATACAAACACTGACACACACATGTTTATACAATATATTTAATTTAAACATACAATAATTGTATTTTTTTTTGCCACCCTACTGTTTACATACCTTTTATGTGCAGGAGGTTGGCTTCACTGCTGTCTGTGGCTGATAGGAGTGTTGCTAGGAGTGCTGCTTCTTCCTCCATTCCTACCTGCAGGGCCGCCATCAGGGCATGACAACCGCAACGGTTGTCATGGGCTCGGCGGTCCTGGGGGGCCCGGACTGCTCAGGTCGTCCGGGCCCAACATTCAGTGGGTACATACCGGGTCGCAGGGGGCCCTGCGACCCCGGTATGTACCCACAGGGCCAGCCTCTTCTCCTGGGGGGCCCAGGAGGCGGCCACGTCAGGGCCCCCCCAAGGCTGGCCCTGCTGACACCCGGCGGCCGGCGCGCGAGGGAGCACTCTCTGCGGCTTCCTCTTCAGCTCCCTCGCGCGCCGCGTACTGATGCCGGAGCCGGAAGATGACGTCATCTTCCGGCTCCGGCATCAGTACGGTGCGCGAGGGAGCTGAAGAGGAAGCACACAGAGAGTGCTCCCTCGTGCGCCGGAACACCTGCCTGCCCGCCCGCCGCCAGTGTCAGGGGGGGTTAGGAATGAAATGGGAGGGGGGAAGAGGAAGGAAATGAAATGGGAGTAGGGGAGGAGAAGGAATGAAATGGGGAGGTGGGAAGGGGAAGGAAATGAAAATGGAGGGGGGGGGGGAAAGAATGAAATTTGAGGAGAGGGGGAGGAAGGAATGAAATGGGGGCGGGGAGAAATGAAATTTGAGGGAGGGGGGAGAGGAATTAAATTTGAGGGGGAGGAGGGAGAGGAAGGAAATTTGAGGCAGGGAGAGAGGAAGGAAATTTGAGGAGGGGGGAGAGGAAGGAAATGAGAGGGACGGGGGGAGAGGAAGGAAATTTGAGAGACGGGGAGAGGAAGGAAATGAGAGGGAGGAGGAGAATAAGGAAATTGGAGGGGGGAAGAAGGAAATTGGAGAGGGAGGGGGAGAAGAAGGAAATTGGAGGGAGAGGGGGGAGAAGGAAATTGACGGGGGGGGAGGGGGAGAGATTGACATCCATCACACACAATGCACCCCTTGCACACAGAAAAACACACAATGCATTACACACAGATACACGTACACAATAAAATGGGAGAAGGAACTAAATATATCAATAGCACATAAAGAGTGGTGTGACTCTTCGTATAATATCAAGAAAATCATGCAATGCTTAAAAATCCTTGAGACACATATAAAGATACTCCAAAGATGTTATATGGTCCCAACAAGAATATTTCAAATTTTATCTAGAGTTGAGCGGACACCTGGATGTTCGGGTCCGGCGGGTTCGGGATCGAACTTGACCCCAAATTTGACCCCGAACCCGAACCCCATTGAAGTCAATGGGGCCCGAACTTTTGGGCACGAAAATGCCTCTAAAAAAGTCCTGGAAAGGGCTAGAGGGCTGCAAAAGGAAGAAAAATGGGGGTAAGAGTAGGACAAGCGCCCTGCAAATAAATGTGGATAGGGAAATCACTTAAAATAACATAAAATACCTAAAAATAAAAAATACAACTGAGTCATAAAATATCACTAGATGTAATCTTTGATTTTAGCTTTGGAAGAACATAAATCAAAATCTAAAGCATGGCTGTCAGGAGGATCACCAGAATTATCCATTTGAGAGAGGGTTGAAGTGCAGGGTATTCTCTTTCATTGTTCAAACTGAACTCAACTCCTGATGCATGGAGAAAAGGCCTTCACAAGCCTCTGCTATTGTGTACATAGTTTATACTATGTGACCCATAGGTTGAGGAGGCGGTGACCGTGGCAGTGTAGGTGGAAGCGGCAGTGGAGGAGGAGGTAGCTAACACTGTTTTTTATTTGTTTTTTTTCTAGTCTAACAATGGCTGGGTGAGGCCGGTATAAATGTCTATTCTGCACAAGGTACAGACAAGTCTGGTGGGATCTATGCCTGGTTCATTTTAATAAACATTGGCTGTGGACAGGCGGCTGCGCTTGTCTGTGATAACGCCCCCTGCCGTGCTAAACACACGTTCAGACAATACACTGGCTGCAGGGCAGGCCAGCACCTCCAAGGCATAAAGGGCCATGTGCCCAATTTGGAGACCCAGAAGTTGAATGGGGCAGACCCATCAGTCAGTACATGTAGGCGACCTCTTCCTCCTCCTCTGCCTTCGCCTTGTGCTTCCACTGAGCCCCCTGATCAGATATCAGCAGGGTATATAAACGCAGCCTTGCCCTGTGATCTGGATCAAGTCTTTGATCCTGTTGTGTGTGTTCCGTACCAGTGTTCCTGTCTATTGATTCTCTGCTTCTTATTGCCCCCGGCTCCTGGCATAGTTTACCCTGGCATCCCTTGACTCCGGCTATTCCTCGTTGTTCCTGTCCTCTGGCATCCTTTGACCTTGACTATCCCTTGTCTATCCTGCTGTTTGAGTCCTTGCCTGTCCTGCATATTGGTACTTCATAATGCACAGCCCCCGTGCACAGACCCACAGGCCAGGTGAATTCTTGCCTGACCACCTTGGCCTGTGGCTATTTGCAAGGGTGAGCAACATATCTGCGCTACAGACTCCCAACTCAGGTGAGACCCTGACATTAAGACTTGATCAATATGGAGTCCTAAGAGATGAGCTCACCCCTGTTCCAGCAAGTGTCCAGCCTGGCCCAGACTGTTTCAGAGCTGCCGCAAGAAAATGTTTTCCTTAAAGGCGCAGTACACCCAGCCCCGGAACCTGCTTATCCTGAACTGTTTATCATGACCGATTGATTTGATGGTAGCCTCACGTCCTTTCAGTCCTTCAAGATGGATTGCGAGGTTGTTTTCTTTAAAGCCTCAAACATATGTCACAGATTTCATCAAGGTCCGAGCGGCTATCAACCTGTTGTCTGGACGCATCAAAGAAGGGGCTCACCAAATGTTGATGACAAAGAGTCCTGTCCTTGTCAGCTGGGAATCCTTCACTACTGCTATGGACTCACAATGCAAGACCACTGTGTCAAAGCCTGTTCCACGTGCCAAAAGACCCCAGACTCTTAGAAATCAAGAAACCCAGTACCAACACTACACCCCAGTGTTGCCTCCTTACGATCCTATTCTTAGGAGAACACCAGAGGTATTCCGTGTTCCTATTGACCCTGAGGAACCTATGCAAATAGGACTCGTCCACTGCAAAGTGACGCGTGAGGAAAAAGACCGGAGGAGAGGCCATGGTCTATGTTTCTGTTGTGGAGAAAGAGGGCATTTCATCTCTCTCTGCCCAATTCGTCCACCTAGGCAAAGACCTATGGACTTATCCAGTCAACTCAGAGATACAGTCTACAAGCTGCCACGGTTGCTGCCAGCCATGTCCCCGTTCTGTAATATATAAGGGTACTCAGACTGTAATGAATAACCTACCCAGTACCCCTGAGAGATCTGAACCTCCACGGGGAAATATTCATGATAGAGTTGGTACCATCACCACTTCATGTCAACCTAAAGAGGAGTTACCTTGTCCAGAGAATATGACTCCTGAGATCAAGGTACTTGCCGCTCGCACAGAATCCTTGACCGATCTTAACCTCTCTCCAGTAGTTCCTGAAACATCTGATATTTGTTTGGTGGAGAAAGACCCTCCTCCTGGTTGTACCTACGCCTCAAATGGGACTCTTTTTTTGAAAAGGCTCTACAGGCTATGCCCTCCGCTCCTGCTGGCAAAACCAGAGTCAAGAAATCTAAAAAGTGACCTCCTGGGCCGTAGTTGCTTTTCTTTTCTCGCCCAAAGGTGGCTTTGAGGAGGGAGTACTGTCAGGATTTGAACCTGGGTACTTGGCAGTTCTGGCCCTGCTTCCTACCTCTGAGCCACAGTAGCTTTGTTTCTTACCAGCTATTTCAGTTCTATTGATCCTGGCTGGTCTGCAGCACTGGGCCCTTGTCGATAGCCGTG